GTCGCCATTTCTGCTGTCCTGTGTGGCTCTTTCAAGGCCATGATGTCACTTGTTGGAATATTACCCTAACAGGGCCTTGCATATGTCATCTTGAAACTTCCCAATCCTCTAATACTCAAAAGGTGACATGCAGCACACGCTTGTGCTGAACTGCAATGACAGAGTATGGAAACCCCCATTTTCTCAGTTAAATAAGAACTGTTACATATTTTCCTTCACAATGATAAATGTGTGATTCCAAAAGAAAAATTTAATGTTCATGCTTCACCATCGGGGGAATGTCACTTATTAAGGACCAGTCCTTCCTCTCTGGATTTTCATTTTTATAGGGAACTGATGCCTTCCCCCCCCCCCAAAAAAAATATATAAATAATATATATATATAATTATCACCCCTTATTCTATAATAGTATTAAACCCTCCTCCCTTTGAGATTATCCATTTTTTTTCTCCAAACCCTTCAGAATTAACAGCATGGTTATTAAATATGTCCAGTTTGGCTTTTTTACACCAAATAATTTCAAAATGCTCTACTACCTCTCAGTAGCTGAAGAGACATGCAGTAATGGAATCTGGATTGAAAATTTAAACAATTTTAGTTTACAACAAGTTTTTTCCTTAAAAAAAAATGCTGTTCAACAGCTGCAATCTTTGTTACCGGTAACTTTACATTGCCACAAACTAGTAAAGAGCATTAAAATTAGAATATTTTGTGATGAATCTGTGTACCTTGAAGCTGTATGTTGTAGTTAATTTTTTATCTCAGGTAATTTTTGTTTGTCTTTTGTTTTTGGGTATGGTAATGTATGCTAATGAAGTTGAAACAAAAGAAAAATAAAAATTACCTGAGATAAAAAATTAACTACAGCATATATTTTATGATCATACACTGTATTGAGTTTTTCATTCCTGCCATCAAATAAATTCCTATCCCACGAGCTTGAAATTAGTTTTTGTATGTCAAAAAACCATTTTTCACACTAAATGGACAAAATAATTTATGATGCCACTTTGAAGGGAGAAAAAAAGGGTGTTTTGTAGCAGTAAGGCCTTTGAAGCTTGATGTAGAACCCAGGTTTTGTCAGTTTTCTTCTACAAATGAATATGAATGAACACCTGCCCGACTGGTTGATGCTGGTCTTGTATATCCTGCTGCTGTGGTTGTCATGTTCAGCAGTGTCATCAGTTCATGCTTTATTTGCCAACTGATTTATTATCTTCATTGTTATTGCTATCGCCATGGATTATCATTTTTATCATCATCATCATTATCATTATTATATTAGCCTTAGGAGAGTAAGGGTAGTGTAGGTGGTGGCCAAATTTATTTCCTGGCATGGTTTTGCACACAGAATCTGTTCTCTGATCACCTTTAACAAGATTCAACCTACCTAATACTTTGATTTAGAATTTTATTCTTTGCTAGCCCTAATTTTTCATAGAAGACAAAGGAAATTGTAAAAAGGAAATTAAAAAAGTATCTTTTGTCGCAACAGTGTTTAGAGAATAATGCTTAGTAGTGTGCAAGTTAATAAATAGAGTACTTAAGTGATGATGTCATAAAAATGAAATTTCTGAAAAATTAATATGGGATTTGTCAGGATATTCTGAAAGAACAATGTCCAAGAGGCCTACTTGCCAAATATGGGCATTTTGGGGCAAATTGTCTCTGAGATCTTAGCCCAGTTATACTCAGAAAACTCCATGCAAACCCTTCTAAATTTTTTTTGGGTCAACCAAAAAAAATTTAGAAGGGTTTGTATGGAGTTTTTTAAGCATAAATGGGCTACGATCTCAGAGACAATTTGCCACGAAATGCTCATTTTTGGCGAGTAGGCCTCTTGGACATTGTTCTTTCAGAATATCCTGACAAATCCCATAATTTCAGAAATTTCATGACGTCACACTTTAGTACTCTATTGAAATTAATTTATAGTTAGATTTTGCTGCATATGGCGTCCAGATCTATACCTGATAAAATAAATAAATAAACAATAGGGGAATCTTGTAAAAGCCCGTCATGATTTCGTAAATGCCCCATATTGGTGTAATAATAATTTGTTATATCTGTTTAATATAATAAAGCTAATGTTGTTGTTCTAAAAAACAATTATTCATGTTTAACCTGGGAACATATTCAGCACTGTCATTAAGAGCCGGAGGCCGGGGATTTCATCTGTCTACCATAAATGTAGCCCAGCCTACTTTCATTGGATAACAGAAGAAAAATAAAACCAAAATAAATCCCTAGCAGTTAATTCCCCACCTATACTTGTTGTATAATTTTAACATTGTACCTGGCGACTTGAAATCTTCATTACTGCCCTGATATTTCACCTACAACATTACAGATGTTGGATGGCGGTTTTAGGTTGTCAGTACTGTTCTCTTCCTAGTGAATGCTCTGACAGGTTTTCTTCTTGGTACTTCAGTTTCCCCCTCCAGAACCTTGAACACTTCTGAATTCCGATTCAATATGTGTGGAATGCATTTAAACACTTGCAATAATTAATGCTCCTACAAAATTTTCATACGTGAACAGATTACTGTGTTTAATCATATTATTCTTTTACATATTTACTTATTTTTCATTCCCTAGGATTCAAGATAATAATCTTCTCACGATTCAACTAGTGCATCAAAGGACAGTGATGGTAAAACACCCCAGCTTACCTGTGGTCTAGCTCCCATCATCTTCAAAAAATGTTGCAAACACAGCAACGAGCCAAAGAATGATATTGAATTATACTAGGGACCCTCCTGAGCTTAAGAAAGTCCTTCCATCCTTGGCTGATATTAAGTTAATTACCAAACCATCAAAAGATGCCAATCTGCCTGTTGACATTGTGTTACTTACAGTTACAAACTGTGAGTTCTTAGCTTGCTATAGTGAGCTAAAAAACCCCTATAGATGTTGGTTTGATGGTCTTGGCTATGTTTACTTTTCTGATGTGCGTGAAAGTCAAGAGGAGCTGAAAGTTGCATTATTAAGATGTTACAGAAATGGTATTGGTCCTGGTGGTGCTCTTGTATCTGTAAAGAATGCTGCCTCTGTGCTAAGACCCAAAGCAGTTATTTCTGTAGGCACATGTAGTGGCCTAAACCCTGCAAAATCTAAGTTAGGAGATGTTGTAGTGTCTGCCAAATTAGCAACATATGCATCGAAAGTAGTGACCAGCAATCAAGAGCAGTCAACTGGTATCAGAAGTTATGTCAGCAAACGCTTTCTGAATGTCATTAAGAATTGTGCTGATGGCTGGCAAGCACCTTTGAAGGACCTGGCTGAAGCTCAGCAAGTTCAAGTTTATACTGATGCTGAGTTTCTGAGTGGACCGGAACAAGTCAGAGCTGAATGGAGGCATGATCAACTTGCTGAAGCCAATCCTCAAGCTATGGCAATTGAAAATGAAGGAGGTGAGTAGACTTTTTAATATGCAGCCAGCCTTAGAACGTGTATGCACTCAGGTCTCTTTTAACTCTATAGATGTGTTGGTTGCTTTTGATTCAGTGTTAAAATTAAGGCATTGTTTAATTGTTTGCTTGTTTGAGTTTGATATATAGAGGATATTACATGGCCGCGCGGAGATACGAAATTTCTCGTTGAGTGTTGAAAAATATTCGCAAACGAGTGAAATATTTTTTTCAACACGCGAAGAGAAATTTCATATCTCCAAGCGACCATATAATGTTCTATTTATTAGAGCGCTTTTCAATTGAGTGTCGAAAACCAAAACCAAAGTAATCACAACGGCCAATCAGAGTAAAGGAAATTATCAGAGGGAGCCAAATATGGCAACTCGAAGTAAACGCGTGTAACCGGCCTGTAGCGTGGGAAAACGCGAGTGACCAAGGAGCGATTGGTTTTAGTTTACATCTGATTGGCTGAGAGGGTGGCGCGAGTTTTCTAGACCAATCAAACAGCACAGTAAAGCAAAACCAATTCAATCCTGGATTACTTTCAACACTCAATTGAAAATTGCTCTATATAAACACCAATGAAATACCAAACCATTTTACTTAAATGGTTTTTGGTCTGAATGGTGCGGTTTATTATGAAGCCATAGCAACGGTGATATTTTCGCATGTGAAGATAACATGTCATTTTTACATGTGAAGATATCCAGTTTTTGCGCGAAAGCTCACTTGGTATTTCATTGGTGTTTATATAATAATATGATATATATATTTTTTTTTTGCTGAAAAGATGGGCAAGCTGCCAATGTATGAGTCTTCATTACTCAGTTTTTATAGTATAGTTCTGTCATGCTAACACAGAGGCCAAGGGTTCAAATTCCCTTGAAGCCCCACCCCCCTCCCCCTTAAATTTTTTTTCAAGTTCATTTGCAATTGTCTAGATTGCTATTACAATAATATTATATCTGCAAATTAAACCCATTGACAAAAGATAGGTGTGGGCAAGGTGCCTGGTGAAACTGAAAAACTGAAGGGAGCCGCAAGCAAACCTAAAAGGTAACCATAACAACCCTACATTTATGAGCAGCACCTCACTGGCCTGTCACACTGAGAGCTTCAGTGGAGAAATGTGCAGATACTTACCAAAAAACATCTAAAGGGAAAGGAGGGCTGGGAGCAAAAACAGCTAAAGCTGCTGTACTGCATGTGAAAGCAGCAGTTATGTGAATGATTGACTTCAGGGAAAGTGCTGTAAAATTGCTAAAGCCCAGGACCACCCCATATACAACGAGTAATGGAGACCACCGGCCAGCATTGTCTCGTGTTTGACCTCGCCTAAATTACACACCTGCCTAAAGCATGTCCCCCAGAGAAATTAAGGTGTAAGCTGTCAATAACCACAATCCAAACTTATTTGACTGGGAAGGAGCTAGTAGAGTTCACATCTTCTACATTCTTCCTCTTTTTTTGCAACTCCAGTTGGCTTCGGTTTTTTTTTCTTTTTTATAGAAAGTTAGGCAAAATAATGTAAGCTATATTGATGAAGGACTGTCTTCAACTCAAGTGACATTTTCTTTTGTTCTATAGGAGTGTTTACAGGAGCATTTGACTGTCAAATTGAGTGTTTAATTGTGAAAGGAATAGCTGATTATGCAGATGGTTCTCAGTTGCCTTCAGAGAGTTGGTCTTCCTGTGCCAGTGTGATGGCAGCATCTCTTGTTGCACACATTTTGAGTGAGCCCTGTGTGTTTTATTCATGGCCTCATTACCAAGGTAAATATTTCTCTTAATGTTTTGTCCATTTTTGGCTTGTTGTTTTACGGAAACTAGGGATGCATTACAGTGTACCTCCTTGATGCCATGAGTAAGCTCAGTACTGCATTACGGGGTAGATTGCACATGTACACATGACATCTTTTTCTGTTTATAACAGCTTTTTAATAAGATTTGATCATATTGGTGTAGATATTACAATGCAACTGCTGCAACCGTATAGCCACTTAGACTGAGTTGACTAATCAGATTACAGGAAAATAACAATACATTCCAAAAAAGTTGGTTGTGGTCCAATCAGCAGGTAGTGAAAAAAAAAAAAAAAAGTTACTATAAGCTCCAAATATAAATCTTGATACAAACGTTTTCAAAAAAGCAAAATGTTTCACTAGACAATGTTTTTCTATTCAAAACTTTACATATAAAACCAAGGAGACATATTTTTTTTGACACAAGCTGTTATTTTGTCATCTACAAGCAATTTCTTCGCTACCATGGCCTTGCTTTGAAGTGCGACCTCAAGTCAAAATCATAACTAACATTTACGTTTTTCGCTTCCGTCACACACTCTAACGGACCTCTCAAGAAACACGTCCTTTCTTCAGGGGGACAAAAGGTCATGTCTGTTGGTTGTGATTTGTTAATTTCGATCCATGTTGTTTTTAACTTGTGGATTACGCGTAGCGTAAGGAACAAGTTATTGTGGGCACTGCGATATGCAAATTTGTCACTCAGATGTAGACACCTTTCGTAAATCAGTCGGCTCCACACGAAAGCGACCGGTATCAAAACGACAACTGTCGTAGATCGTTCCCGTTCCGCGATGTGCTGATTTGGTACATTTCACCGGAGTCACAGGACGATTGTCTTCATGTGGACTTTGAATGTTTCAAATTAGAACTATGGCCAACTTTGAGTTTATGAACGTTTGAAGCTTTTTGACTCGTCCAGGCGATAAACATGACGCCGAAAAGATCAGCAACTGCTCTTCGACTCCCAAGCGAAGCTGGTCAAAGCTCACGATTCGGCCGTGAGTCTCACGATGTTTTAAGTTTTCACACGACAAGACTCCCAATCTCATGGTTTTTAGTGAAATATCATTCTGAAATGAAATGTTTCTTTGTTCTTTGTGTGGGGCTAAGCTGTGGAATGAGATACCCTGTAACATCCGACAACTCCCGAAGAATAAGTTCAAAAAAACACTCTGCAAATTACTTTTTGATATCCTGAATTCAGAAGATGAGTATATTGATACGCCCACCTTAATTAAAAAGGTAAAATTAGCCAGAAATGTCGGAAAATAAATTCTTGCTTGTTAGTTTCTACTTTAACAATTTATTTGCTTAATTCTTTTTCCTTTAGTTTATTATCTAGTCCTCATCCATATTACGATTTTTATTTCATTTATTTGTAACTAACTGTAAACTTTCCTTAGTTAATAGCCTTAGCCTTTATTTCTTATATTTTGCACGCATTGTCCCGCCTCGAATAGCCTTGCTAGCTGCGGGCAATACTTTTGTTATTTTATTTGTTTATTAATAAAGTTTTGTTGTTTGTTCTTGTTGTTTTGTTCAATAAAAACGGAAATGTTTACTGTTGCTGAATCGTAAGTGACTGTGCAAGAGACTTCGCGACGGTTTTGCGAGACACTTGTCGGCCATATGCTCTTCAAAGGCGACGAAATGAGTACAGCTTCAACTGTCAAAACCATGTTTGTTTTCCTCGAATATACCTTTCAATTCGTCATAAATAACGCTCTACCGGCTTCAAACAGTGTCGACTGGCGGAATTTTTATGGGCAAAAGATTTAAGTATGATTAATTTAATGATTGTACCACTGTTGTACTCAAAGTTGGCTGGCTTGGCGATAGATAACGCGTTCATCCTATACGTCAATGGTCCCGGGTTCGACTTTCGCCGTCAGAAACACTCATTTCTTTTTTTTATTTTTTGGTCCTTTTGTTTGTTTTGTGTTTTTTTTCGTAAAACATATTTCCATTTTTTGACAAACTTAAAATATACCGGTAGACTAATTGCAGGTTCATTATCAGCTTTTCTTTCTAAAATACAGTAATTAAAAATCCACAAGTTGGCCTTAGGAACCCTTTGATTTTCGTTTTGTGGTATTTATGATTGACAACTAACTTTCTAGGAAAGTTTTGTTGTTTTCCTGTAATCTGATTGGTCAACTTTGTCCAAGTAATTGTTATGGTTTCTTAAAGGAACTTCCAAACTGTAAGAACATTGAAGAAACCTCTTGTTATTTTAAGTCAAAAAAGATTGAAGTACATTCATGAAACTGAACAAAAATGTTCTGGATTTTGTTGTGAAATAGGGCCAGATTAGAAGAACCTTCTAAGCTTTAACAACCCCACCAAGTGTTCTTAGCTGATGAGTCTGTTTCTTCCAGCAGTTGTATTGAGGTGGCCACTTAGCTATATTTCTTTTTTTAAGTGTTAAAACTACACTTGTCGTCTAGTGACGTTATTAGTAGAAGTTATTTCTAGTAGATTTTTTGAATGTAAGTTTGAGATATCTGTTTTTGTTGAAGATATATCAGCGCAGAGCTCAGCCAGCAGATCAAAGGAACAGTTACCAAGTCCCTCAGGTACCAATTTATAGCCCCAGTCCACACGAATGTGGATATTTTTTTAAAACCTTTGTGTTTTTTTAAATGAATAGGCCACGGATGAATGAGCGGATTCACTGGTTTAGTGTTAAGGGAAGGCCGCTTTGTGATAAAGAAAATGTGCAGTTTCAGAAATGTTCAGATTTGTGTTGATGGGGCCTTAATGTTTAATGCTACATTGTACATGTCAGCAATCCAACATGTTACGAGTTTAACATACATTTTCCGCTCAATTTCCCTTCGTCTTGTTTTTTTTCTCTTGTTTTTGGTTGTAATTTTTTGTTGTTTTTTCTTGTCATGGTTAATGTTTTTGGACCTCTCATATCAGGGATGTCATGTATATTACCGACGGTCAATTACCTAATAATTGGGCAAAATTATTTTGTTCTTGGAGGGGGGAGGGCACTTGTATGAAGGCGGCTGCTAATTCGAACGTTTACAGTACATGTGCTCCATTTAATTCAAAAAAAGACACTCTTCCCTCTCCTCTGTTAAGTTTTCTTGTCTAATTAGTTACTATTTGCACTCTGCTCCTTAGCTTATTTGTTAAATTAGTAAGGTTTTCCCACCCTTAGCCTGAGCAACAGATTTACAGTACAAAACAACAACAACAACAACACTGAACAACACAGCTTCTTAATCCATGGTTAACGCCATTGAACGTGTTAAAATAATCACGACATTTTAATTTTTTAATACTATTTAAGAAGCGGAGGCCAGTATAATGTAAACTAACTGTAGCATAAAAGTTTTGAAATCTATAATTGTCTCAAAAATTGATCAACAAGTCAGCCTCGCAACCGAAGGTTGTTTAAAAACCCTGTGGTGTAAGACTTGGTAATAATCTTAACGCATGAAGAATCGTGGTCCAGTGTTAACCTGAGATCAGGCTCTATTTTTATTTCACGCTTAGATGTAAATGGCCATAATAGAAAAACTACCATTATTTTTTCTACCACAAAACCTGTACAATTAACTTCCTACTGCTGAATGCGTTAGAGAGGATTTAAAATAGATTTACATTTTTTATAAACAGATGCTGCAACTGCTTTTTTGGAGTGGAGTCAAAATCAGCTTTGCTCATTTTACAACAGTACTGCGAGCCAGTTAATGATTACTCCTTGGGACCGGGATAATACCATGGACATTGGTGAGGTGTATGTACAGTTAACACTGCTAAGAGATGACAGAAAACTTGCTGGAACAACAAAAGAAAGGCTTCAAGATTACAGTGAGATATTCGCAAGCCATGGTCATCATCTAATTCCTAAGAGAATTTTAGTGTATGGGAGGACAGGAATAGGAAAGTCGACATTGACAAAGAAACTCGCCGTTGACTGGTCACGAGGTAATAAAGAAATCCTAACGAAGTTTGCTGTTGTACTTTTAATCAAGCTCCGTGATGTTTGCAACACGCAAGACTTCTGTGCCATGCTACAAAAGGCGGAGCTGTTGTCCGCAGGTGACCCTATGGTGTTTAGCCAATTGTATGATTACATTCTTCGTAACCAACAAAAAGTCCTACTTATTTTAGACGGCTATGATGAATACAGCGCCGAAAAATCATCGCCAGTCCATCAGATTTGGAAAGGCAGTCAATTGAGAGATTGTACTCTTCTTGTGACTACCCGTGCTCGGAAAAAAGACGAGTTAAGACCAGGAAGTCATGCTCAGTTTGAAGTTGATGGGTTTGATCAGTGGCAAGTTGAAACATTTGCTCGTAAGTTTCTTCGCGACCAAACAGAGGTATTAAAGTTCACAGATTTCTTGGATGGACGCGACCTGTGGGACCTGGCGGAAATACCTCTTCTCGTTTTAATGTTGGTTCTAAGCTGGGAGGTTTTTGATTATCAAGGATCATCAACATCCCGTGCAAATCTGTATAACAGTTTTTGTCAGACGCTGCTCGATCACTTGACCGCAAAAACCTCAGATGAGACATTTAGAAGCATGGATGAATACAGAGAAGACCTCGCAAAGTTAGGGGAACTTACCTGGCAGGCACTTTTAAATGACTGTCTTTATTTCAAGCTCAGCAATGTGCCTCAGGACATTCGGTTATTCCTTGACAAGTTTATTGATTTTGGCTTTCTGCAGACTTCTAATCTTTCAAATTCGCCTCGTCCTGAGAAACTGGCTTTCTTTCTCCATAAGTCGGTGCAAGAATTCCTTGCCGCCTCGTTTTTAGTTCGTGATTTAAAAAATGACAAGGAAACCTTCAGCTGCCTATCTAAACTCGACTCCTTTAAACGGTTCAAGGAGGTGTTTCAAGTTTTCAAATTTGTTTCGGAGTTGTCATCAGAAGCCACCGTTGCTGTTTTTAGCCATCTGAAGATGATAGGAGAAAAAGAAGGTCTGACTGATTGCAACTTCTGTGAAAACCCCTCTGTTGAGGAGCTCACTGAAGAACAAGGAGAGTTTTATCGTATTAGTCTCGATCTTTTCCTTTCTTGCCCTGCCTCAGATAGGAAAAATGTCTATCCTTCATTTCTGCAATGCGTGAACGGTCTTTTATTGATAGAGGACGAACAACTGGTTAAAGTTTCCCGCGAACATTGCCTGAGATCAACAAATTTCTATAAGCCAGATTATGTATTTTTTCTAGAAGGTGATTTAGTAGATGCGGGTGATGAAATGTTTTCTGTGATGTCCGATTTGGTCACTGTTGTTGTGACATGTTATGGCGACGTAAAATCCGTCAATAGGTACCACGACCTAGTCCCTGAGGGGTTTTTCATTAAGAAAGTTGGGCATCGATTAGTGTTCTATTTAACTCGCCTTCAGTTCACAAACCAGACCAGTCCGAATTTCATTGAACTGCTTAGATCATTAATATCAGCACCAAAGTCCTCTCCTCAAGAGCCTGATCACAAGTTACAGAATCATAATGTTTGCAGCTCTTTGCAGTTAACTGAGAAAACTTCTGACCAGACTCTGACACACTCTCTGTCATATTTGAGAGAGATGAACATTTTCGGCCCAACAAGTGAACTTTTCAGTTTACTGAATAATCTTCACCATGTGCCTCGACTTTCTAAGCTCGATTTAGATGATGTTGGTATGGGAAATCAGGAGTGTCAGTTACTTGCCTCTGCTTTAAAGTATGTTGATAAGTTACGCTTTCTGAAATTATCACATAACCCACTCGGTCACGGGATAAGTGAGCTTGCCAAACACCTGCACCGTGTTCCTCATCTGATAGAGCTGCACCTGAATGATACACAGATGGGTGAAGAAGAAGTTTCAACTTTAGCCCATAGTTTAAAGAATGTGACTCAGCTGAGTAAACTTGACTTATCAAGCAACCCTGTTGGTCACGGGATAAGTGAACTTGCTAAACACCTGCACAATGTACCTCATCTGAAAAAGCTGCTTCTGAATGATACAAAGATGGATGAAGAGGAAGTCACAGCTTTAGCCGAAAGTTTAAAGAGTGTGATTCAGCTGAGTAAACTTGACTTATCGTTCAACCCACTAGGTCACGGGATAAGTGAGCTCGCCAAATTCCTGCACAATGTACCTCATCTGAAAGAGTTGAACCTGAATGATACACAGATGAGTGAAGAGGAAGTCACAGCCTTAGCCCATGTACTCTACGTACGACAACTGAACTTCCTTTTTCTTGCCAAAAATCCGCTGGGCCGCGGAGTGACTGAATTAATCAAGTGTCTTAGAAGTAGTCCTCAGCTTCCCTATCTCGGACTCATTAAAGTTAAACTGACAAAGAAAGAAGCCACTGAACTGCGCGCAATAGTAAATGAGAGGAACTTATATTTGGAGTCAGATTATCATGTAAGTTTCTCTTTTGTAATTTACATTTATTTTATTTTCCAGAGTTAATTCAAAGTTATCACTTGCAAGTGTGCTAACTGCTTATTGTATTCACCATGGAAAGTAAAGCTGCTAGTAAAGGAGCTAAAAACACTTTTAAGAATTACTCTAGATTATTACACTTCATGTTACTTATTTCAAGAGATTAAATTATATTTTAAAAGCTGAGAGTCGTTTACAATGGCGGAATTTTTTTATAATCTTTGAACAACTTTTTTTCACGTTTTGCGTGTGATTTGCTCAGCGAAGTATTTACTTACGTTATACTACTAGATGAAAAATTTCTGCAATTTGATTGGTTTAGAGCAGTGGTATTTCAGCTTAATTTGAAATACCTACATGTGAAAATTACAGACCTTTTGCGGGTAGTAGTATAAACAAATAATAGCATGATTTGTACGTGATATTTGGCATAAATACCACTCGTGATATTTCAAAATTGTCTCAAATTTCACTCACCTAACGGCTCGTGAAATTACGTATAGCAATTTTGAAATATCACTTGTGGTATTTGTGCCAAATATCACTACAAATCATGCTAATACCTATACAAATGTTAAAATTTGAATAGCTAGTAGAAATTTCATAACTTCCGGAAATGAGCAATCCATTATTGTATTTTTGAAAAACTGACAAGTTTAGCTTACAGTATTTACCTTACCTTCCGCAGACTAAAATTAATTTTCAAGGTGGAGTGGGGAGATGAAAATATTAAGAAATTAATTTCACCGAAAAAGTGTATTTTTAAGCTAATTATTGGCATGTTGTGATTTTCTCTTCATTGGTGTTCTTATGAAGGCTCCTTGGGAAATTAGTAGAGCGCGTTATTGTAGAGTGGGAGGTCGCAGGTTTGATTACCGTGACTGTACTTATACTTACACAACTAAGCAGTGAAGGTACTGCGTTTGCCCTGCGTTGCTGCGATGACGTAGAAATGTCGGTCCCATCTCCAGTAGGAGACGTAAAAACTGTGTCCTCAGCAGTGATTTTGTTACCTCTGCGTCCTGCGTCCCTGACGCATGAAAATTCCCAAAGACGCAAAATAATTCATGGCATGCGTCCTGAAGGACGCAAAGATCGATCGATCGATCTGAACGTGTGTATTTGTAGAAATATCCCGATCGTGTAATTTCTGAGGCAGTTATTAAGGCTGTTGTTTAACGATACATGTTTCTTTTAGAGTGATTTTACTTGACCCGTGGAACGAAACTAACAACTACTGCAAAATAGGTACTACTATTATAGTAAACAAAATAAAACAATGGAATTAGTGCATAATAGTGCGTAGTATTCTACTACCTATTTCACGGGGTAAGTAAAATCACTCTAGCCTTTGTTGTGCTTTAAAATAGAAGTACTATATTTTAATTTCAGTATACTGTAATACAGAGTTTTGGAGTCTGTCGTCAGATTAACTGTCTGGTTACATAAAGGCCCAAACATTTTCAACTTCGGACCCGTTTTTTTTTTTTCTTTTAACAGGGACTCATGAGTCCCAGGACTCACCACAACTCCTTATAACAAAATCACTGTCCTCAGTTAGTCCTTCCATGCAAAATACATTCACACTGAAAGTCAAATAGGGTGATGAAATAAGGCGGACTTGCGAAGTTTTCGATACTTTCATGGCATTCGCTACTTTGATGAGAGAACGTATCTATTTTTTGGACCCTAGAGAAACACATCATTGTTGTCGCAAAATAATCATGGCCACAATTTCACGATCGCTCGAACTAACTTTACAGGTTATTTATAATCCTTTACTTTTTTTCTTGATTTTTAGATTTCAGATAGCGCTGACCCGTTAAAAACTCGGCTACTTACAGAAGTGGAATTACAAGAAAATGGAGTCACATTTGATGAAGAGTGAAAAATGGAATCCTGCTCACCACACCAAAGGCGTGAACAGACCCGGATACTGAACAAACCACTACAACCTGAGGGACAATCATTTAGGTATCCCTGTATTTATTTTTGTATCCCTCTAATTTTAGTATCCCCGCGTTTTGAGTATCCCCCCTTATGTACTTATCCCTCACGTTTTGGTATCACTTTAATATAAGTCTCTCGAATTTTGGTTATCTCCCTGATTTAACAAAGTATCCCTTTATTTTGAACCCTTGCGCTCATATCCCTGGTGATGTGGGTTAAAACACTGATCCTACGTCTGATGAAAACCGCGTCGTTCAACAACCAAACCCGCTCTCAAACCTTCGAATTTCTTAATAAATGCTCTTGTTATTATTATTATTTTTTTTGCGATCTCGTTGAAAATAGTCAGTTGAGTTGCGGTTTTTATTTTACAACGGTCAACTACTAGCTCAATCATAGATCTTCAAAACAAGTTAGACTGGAAGCAATCTTTTAAAACGAACTGGCTATTGCGATTGCCGGCGATCACAAAAAAAAAGACCACCAGGCTTTAAAACATTTAGTGTTCCTCTTAGACATGGAACATTAATAATTTTTAAACTTATGTATGCAGTGTCTTTTTGTGTGCAAACTAAGTGCATAAGGCAACAATCACACATGGCCATTTTATTTGCCGGAATTCCTGTCCAAGGTACAAAATACCGCGAGTAGCTTGAGTGGGAGGTATGATCCGGGGGGGGCACGGTGTTTGCACGGATCACCCTTGCTACCCAGGGTACGCTGCGAAGGATAGTGCCTTTGAGACATCGACCCAAATAACAAGGGATGTTTATATCCCGGTAGGGTATTAGGGGATACTCGCAACTCTGACCTGAAATGGAAAAACCCACATCACGAGGGATTTGTGTACGGAGTTGTCCAAAACACAGGGATATCCAAAATTACGTTAGAGTAGATCAAGGTATTTTTGTAGTTCTTGGCGTACACACTGCATGCGCTGCGTAACTATCATGTGTAAAACCAGGAGTCCATCAACATTAAGAGTCCATCACTCCTGTGGGGCCTGGGTCATAGCGTGTTAGATGTTCAGGGTTTTTTCATCTATTGAGAGTAGAGTAGAGTTTCCTGCAATTGGGCGTGAGATCAGCGAATTGTCATCCGAAGAGAGTTGACTGTGTTCCTTTAGTTAAAGAAACGTTTAAGTAGGAACCAATAAGGCTTTGTTTAGGATATCAACTCCCATCCTAAATCGTGCGGTCGTTTTTGAACAAAGTGAATTACGCGGAAAAAGAAGTCTAAAAATGGCCGAAACGCCTAACGCCCTATGACGTTTATTAGTAAACGACCCGAGCGGGATGACCCCCATTTAATAGGGACGGCAATGCTCTCCGGAAAATTAAAATTTAAGTCCTAAAGGAGACCATACTATAAACGCTGCAGTATGGTGTTTTTTGGCTTTTTATGTGGATGTTTTCTTTATGCACAGCCCTAAGGAAGAGAGAAAAAACTCAAATTGCACTGAGCGATACCTGTCCTACCCCTAAGCGAAACAACGAGCATCCCTGTCACTGTTATGTGGGGGTCCTCCCTGGGGTCCCCTCGGTGACGCTGCGAATAGATGGGCTCCTGGTATTGCTTTGTCGTAACTCAACTTCGAAGTACCTAGATATATATTCTTAGTAAAACGGTTTACACCGCAACGTGATGTTACGATGCAAATTTATTATTAAAAGTAGTCGCCCTCTGGATTCAGATCCAGGTTCAAAGCAAATTTGTTGCATGAACTGTTCATTAGCAGTGACTATTAACTGTTCAGTGTGTTAACTCCGATTGAACAATATACAGTAACAAATTTTTAATACTATGATGCAAATTTATTATAAAAGATAGTCACTCTCTGGAATCAGATCCAGGTTCGAAGCAAATTTGTTGCATAAAATGTTCATTAGCAGTGACTAAAAACAGTTCAGTGTGTTTACTCCCATTGTATAATATACAGGGATGAATTCATAATACTACCCCCCGGCGTGCAAATTATTGTTAAATAATGGTCGCTCTCTGGATTCAGATCCAGGTTCAAAGCAAATTTGTTGCATAAACTGTTCATTAGCAGTGTCTGATAACGGTTCAATGTGTTTACTCCGATTAGTGAACAGTAAGAAGTGAAGAATTTATAATACTACCGTGCAAATTCATTATAAAAAACTGGTCGCTCTCTGGATTCAGATCCAGGTTAAGAGTAAATCTGTCGCCTGTACTGTTCATTAGCAGTGACTAATAACACTCAAATATGTTAAGTGATGTTACTACGGTGGTATGTTTTGTTAAGCTTATTTCCTGAGGTAATATACATGCTTCCTAGTCTAGAGTAAATTTATTAATTCCCACAAAATGGCGCAGATTCCGCAAACAAATCAGCACTGCACAGAAGGTCACTGTAAAACACAGACTGCCTTGGGGCCCGTTTCTCGAATGTCCCGGTAACTTTTTGGGCCCGAAATCAAATCTTCAAATCGAAATATAAAGAGTAAGAGCGCGGGTCCTGGCTAGCAACTACTTCATTTTGTTTCATTAACTGATAGTTTTATTATGTTAGATTCAAAACTATTGAAACCTCTATCTTGCATGTAAACAACAACAGCTTTGCGGGCCCCGTTAAATTATCGGGATTTTCGAGAAAAGGGCCCTTAGTGCGGACCGCGCGGGATCATAGGAAAAGTCTTTAACCTCCCTGATGAATAGAAATATAGACATGAACTTTTAGAGTTAGAGATTGCGTTGCTACAACAAGCGACAATTTGTAAAGAAATTAAAATGTCTTCACAATTTTATGTTAGCGTCTTTTACCAATAAAATCAAGATTTTTTTGTAGTGAAACCATGTGTGGAATTCGCCCTTTCCTGTGTACAAGTGATAAAACCAGTTACGAAAAAATTTTCGTAGTAATTTTCACTTTGAACGAAACGACCGTAAGAGGAACAATTTCTTCGAGCCATCTTTTAACTTGGTAGTAAAATTTAATATGTTTACTTAGCCTCAAGCATTGTGGTCCCACTAAGCTGTGGTTACACCAGCCGTTTTACAGTTTGGGTAAATGGCTGTTGCCCATGAGGAAGCAACTTCTTCTGTGTGTGACC